TGATTTAAGCGTACATTGGGACATAGGGACTGAAAAAGCTTGTTTTAAATTTACTACTAGTTTTCGCCCGCGGCTTCGCACGTGTATGCAAGTAATGTATCTATGGCACTCAGGAACATTTTAGCTATCCATCAGTGAAAGAATTTTGGAAATTCGACCATCGGTTTTAAAGATAACACCCTACACATAAACTTACAAATTTTACCTTTTTAGCGAGTGCGTGAAACGCTACACGCCGTACCCTCGGTCAAGGTCTGATTCTAGTCAAGCGGCGATCTACCGCTTCTAGGTTGATTGGTAAAAACATGGCTGAATAATAGTAAGAATGGTAACTTTATACATACTTGTTAAGTTTTTTTTTGTGAGGGGAAAATCATCAAATGACTTCTCCCGCCCAGGGCCGGGCGGGAGGGAGTGTCAGACTCTTACTGACTAAAAACCCCCCTGTTCCTTCTCCTGCTCTGGGCCAAGGTCGCGGTGCCTCATTGCGCTTACCCCACAACCCCGGCTGAACATCAGCCCTTTAGGGCCCCGTCTGTGGTGGTCTATTGGCTCTTTGAGGCGCGCGTGGAACGCTACGCGCCGTAAGCTCGGGCCTGGTTCTGGTCGGGCGGCGAGCTGCCCTTACTCGCTGACCGCAGGCCCGTGCTTACGGTAGCCGGAGATCGTCCCTTGATCTCCGACGCCCCTAGTGTCGCCAGTTGCGGATGCTGGGGCGTGAGGCGGAGGATTTCTCCCTCACGCGGGCCGCCTCTCTCTTTGCGAGCATGACTGCTTCACAAAAGGAGGAGACGACATCCCAGTTCCTCTTACTCTGCACCATGACCTCGACTAAGGCCGGGCGCGAGAGGTCACCGCCGCCGATCACTTCCCTGAGGACACGGCGGTGCTCAGCCCAAGCAGGGCATACCGCCACCGTATACTCTAGGTGGTCCTCGCAATGTCGACACTCGGGCGTTTCCTCCAGCTGGATCCGAAACAGGAACCTACCGAAGCTGCCGTGTCCGGTAAGCACCTGCGTCAGGCGGAAGGTCAGGAAGCCGTGGCGTCTCTCAAGCCACTCCTCAAAGAGGGGTCTTACCGCAGCTATAATAGTGTGCCCGGCCCTCGGTTGCGACAGTCGTTGTTTCCTCTCTGATACTTGTTAAGTTTATTATTACACAATACACATGTAGCCATTACAGTAATTTGTCAAGAGTCGCGTCTATGTCCACCGTTGATTAATGTTTGGCATTCAATATATTGGATTGGCGTCATTAGCTACCTATCTTGGCGACATGTTGTTTCTTCGACGGCTCTTTACAAAGTACTGAGTAGCCATCAGAGACGTGGTATCAAGATAGTATAGCCTAATCACTTACGTCTATCATTTATTCCCGTAATAAGACGAAATAGTTCGACTAGTTTCAATCCACGCCAGGGATTCATATTCATGATACACGACTTCGTCAAATAGTTACGTGAATACGTGAAAAAAACCATTACTTAAATGTGTCTTAAAAAGTGTAATACGGAAACGGTGTAAGAACAAAATTGGACGAAATATTTCATTTAAATTGGTCAAGTATTTTATGCGTTGAAGTTAAAAATCATTAATCATTATCGCCTTTTAAAAGTTTCTTTTTGCTTAAAGGATTGGGACACAAATTATGTTGTTTTTTGATGGTGTCCAAAACGAATATTCAGATCATCTGATAGTATAAGTCATCAGCATTGCCCATCAACGACGTACCAGAAAATAAACAAAAAATAGTGACGCGTTTACGCAACCATATGTTTAGAAAGCACAAAGAAATAAGAAAAAAATAAGTCTCGGTATTACTACGACAATAATAATTATATTTGTAACTCTATCTACCACAGCGTAGGTAGGTACAGATAAAATTTAACCTTAAAACAAGGCAACAAGTATAAATATCGACCGCATTATTGCTTCCAGCTGTTTTCAGACAGTTTAATGTGTCAATGAATCTAGTTGGTCATAAGCTGACGCTGTGGACATACGCGAGACGTTACGGCTTTTTATTTCCCTGAAGGAGTAGGCAGGGATGTACTTACCATAAGTAGTACAGTTTAAGTCATAATTATAAGCTTATTTTTATACTATCGACCGGACCACAACCTCACAGAATACCGGTGCGAAATTACACTCAAGTTGTGTTTCATCGTGTGTGTGTTTACTGGAGGCCCAATCCTTCGCTACCCCATCCCCAATCCCCAAATCATTTATCTCCTCCTACAAATCTCTAAAAATCCACAGAAGGCTAGCAACGCATTTGTGGGCGCCGATTGGCTACCATTAATCCATCTATCCGCTATAAAAAGGAAAAATATAAAAACAAATGAAAATAGTCGAAAGAATAATCATATTCTAATTTGATGAGTGGGAGAGCCGTGCTTCGACACGTATGGGTTATCATCGTCATCATCATCATCATCATCAGCCTATAAGTGGCCACTGCTGAGCAAAGGCCTCTTCTCACACGGAGAAGGTTTGAGCATTAATCACCACGCTTGCGCTTACAAATGGCTCACCTTTAGGGAATTTATACCATGATCCATTACAACTGATCAAATTCGAGTCTCTTTCGGGAGTCATCGGGAGAGAATCGAATCAAAATTCTAGTATTTTCTTCTAGTCTTCTATAGGATAATAATTAGTTATGCACATAAGTAATGGTATTTAAAATTAGCGTAAAATCTCTTATCGGTTATTTGCAGATGCAGTATGTACTACAATAAATTGTAAATACGATTTACGTAGTTTATAAAAAGCAATACAAAGGCAAACTAAATGTTAATAAGTGAAGTGGTGGAGAGCCATACTCCAGTATGAATAGATAGGCTCGAACAGAGTGATACCACGGCTTTACAGAATACCGTCGTGAAACATCATTTACGTTGTGTTTCTTCGTATGAGTGCGAAGCTAGTAAGAGATATAAGAGATTACATATATTGTAATTAATTACAATTGGACATTGTTTTAATTAATTACCATTAAGTGTGGGAGAGCCATGCTTCGGCCCGAATGGGTCGGCTCGACTGGAGTGATACCATTGCCTCACAGAAAACCGGCGTGAAACAACCACAGCGTTGTGTTTCCCCGTGTGAGTAAACTTACCGGAGGCCCAATCCTTCCCCTCCTCCAATCCCTCCTCAATACCTAAATCTCCAAGTCTCTAATCCCTAAAAGGTCGGCAACGCACTCGTAACTCCTCCGTTGGGGGTGTCCATGGGCGGCGATGATTGCTTACCATCAGGTTATCCTTCTGCTCGTAGGCCGACCTATTAGATAAAAAAAATGTAAGACATTCTTACCTATTGAGTTTTAATTTACTTAATCGTGGATGGAATGTATATTCAAAATGTAAAATAAAAAGAAAATAACTAGTTTGAAAGAAATATTATACTTATACCATTCCCATTCCCAAATATTTGAAATCCATAAGCCCAAAAGTCCGAAAAAGCACTCGTAACTTCTCTGGTCTTTCGAGTGTCTATGGGCGGCGCCGATTGCTTACCACCAGGTAATCCGTCTGCTCGTTTGTCGTTTTATCACATAACAAAACTTTATTTTAAATATTCAGCACGCAACAATATGTCTAACTTAAGTTTTAAATATTATGTGTATACGTTTGGTAATGTTAGTACAAATATTGTCCGTTTTAATGTCCAAAGTGATAACATTCATTTCTTTATCAATTTGGGACTGGCTGTGTTTTGTTTTATCGATACTTGAATGAGGGAGTGATGGCACCTACATTGTTTAACTTTCTATTTATATGGACTATAGTATATTTATTAGGAATTTTAATTAAGTAATATTTTTTTTATGAGTTGAATGGAGAACTCGCATTTTGCCTTTTGTTTTTGGATTTTAAACTTTACAACTAGTGACATGTGGTTTAAAACTGTACACTATTTGTAAGTTTTGTAAAAGCAAATGTGTAGTCAAAAGAGGATATTACCTACGCCTTTTTAAATTTCTACCTCCTTGTAAAAGAACATCCAATGAATCCATAACAACAAGGCCTAATATAATAAAATGTAGAACCAAAATAATTTAATAAAACACGACTCCAAACATCCTTCAACAATGAAGGTAGATAATTTCGTAATTCAGTTATAGATAGATGCCTAATCGAGCCAGCTGTTTGCCAAAACAATCGCGTGCGTAAAGGCTCAGAGTGTAAGAGAATTATCTCGAGTTGGCAGCATTCGGCCCATACATTACTGGGAACGATCTCCCGCCTTCTCGCAACTATCGGCCGTGTGTTTCTGATACACATTTTCAATGGCTACCGTCATTTTGTTTTATTAATTTGTAGATATATTTGTATCAAAGTATTATCTGCCCTTTGTGCAAGGAATAAAGGGTAATGTCGTTTGTAGATTGTTGATAAAAATATGCACAAAAATATTTGATTAAATTAGGTATTTGTAAGGTAATATGTAATTTGTTAAATGGTATTTTGCGGGATAAATTCCTGTTAAAATACCATTAAGAAGTCGTAAACAAAATGAGTAAGAGATTTATTTTCGTGTCGAAGCTTTCAAGTGTCAACGGCGATGATCAGAGCGGACGGCGATAGTTCAGTACGGTTGTCGCGACCGATCGCCGGTCGCCGGTCGCCTGTCGCCCCCGGATGGATGAATTAGCTCAGGTCCAATTCCCAGGCAGACTTGCAACGAGACGTTAGGCATTGTATTTTTACATTTGGACACCATCCAAATAGTACTCCGGAGTTATCAAAAATTTTAATTCCCATTGATACGAATGCATACCGTTAAACACAAGAACCAAGTTTTTATTTTATGTATTTAATTTTACCAGCCAAAACATTTGTGTTGCCCTGTCAATAAATCAACGGAACTTTCGAAAGGTCATCGTGTCTGTTTAGTGTTATTGATAAAATAATATCGTTACAGAATATATAAGTACGAATAAATACTTAATTAGCTTTATGAGTTAATTTTCTTAGATATTGTTGGAACTTACCGTGGGGATATCACTGTTATAATATGTTTTTTATCACTTATTAGCACTTGTTGTGTTATTTATTTGGTATTATTGTGTTCGTATAGTTCGGTACATCACGTATATTCGCGGGTTCCGCGGCCGGACGAGCGATACGCTCGGTGGTAGCGCGGTGACTGCAGCGGTTCATTGTATACCTCCCACCGTAGGGCTGCACGCATACGACATTTTATCGGATATTTTATACGTTCCTTAGTTAATGTCTCGTTTATTGTTGTCGGTGCAACTGTTTTAGGGGTTATCGTGCCTTAAAAGAATTATGGATTAGAAAAATCATTATTTGTCGCCGTATCTAAAAAGAAATAGGTACTTTGTGTTGATAAAATTGTATACCTAACCGAAATTTTTTCGTCTTTATTTAAAAAAAAACAATGTTATTCTTAATTTAAATTTCCATAAAAAAAATTATTAACTTAAATTCAATTTTAAAAATTCCTGTAAATTAAGAAACGATTTTATTTTGCACAAAGTAACAATTAATTGTATACATATATGTATAAAATAATATTATACAATAGTTATAATGTTATGTGATAAATTTCTTTTCAGATCGGTTACATTATATCCGCAATATCCGATATGAACATGTCACATCACTATTCCACCAGTTAACAGACCAAGTAGCAACCGCGTGCCGCCAATTTAACTAATATAAAATAGGAGAATGTGCGTCCGGTGATCTCATGATACTCATTATCATCCGTTGATGACCTATTTCGAGATGAAACTGGCAAAATGAATTGGTAAAAACAAAACTTCCCGGGGAAAGTGCAAAGCTAAAAACAAAAAAACGGTCAGATAATTTTTCATAAAGTTGTGGTTGCCTGTTCTTCAGACTGGTTGGCTTCTTGCAGTACCTACCAGTCGTATTAGTACTTACCTGATAGAAATGATAATTTTTTTTTTATTTGACATTTCATTTTTTGTAAATAATATCGTTGACAGTCCAGTGCTGGACTTAGAAATAAGAGGATTTGTCTCCAGGCTCGGTGGATTGGGGCATTTTTTGAGTTGGTCTAATTATCAAAAGACTTCTCTCGTCCAGGGTGAGGTGAGCGAGAGTGTCAGACTCTTACCAACCTGTTCTTTCTGCTGCTGCTGGCTGAGGAGGTCGCGGTACTTACTTGCGCATGCCCGCACCGGCTAAACATCAGCCCAATTGGGCAACATCTGCGGGCAATTGGGGCGTTGCAAGTGCATATTCTCTTACGGTTAAGTTAAAATAAATCTTCATCCAGAAATTTTTAATATTTTATGTAATAGGTTTGCATATGTGCAGACGGATCGTATCTGGTAAACAGTCGGAGCTGCCCGTGCATACCCGCAAAATCGAGGAACCTCTTCGATGTCAAGTGCGTTGTCAATCTTTCAGAATTTCTGAACCTTAAAAACCCTGTATGATAGGGTGCTAAAGTTTTAAAGATTTGGGGATGGAAGACGGTAAAGGTATTGTACACAGTAAGCTCACTCATATATCGAAACACAATGCAAGCGCTGTTTCACAACTCCTTTGAGGACAATCCTTGTCTTCGTGCCAAAGCTGTGCAATATTTCTGTTACACTTAAACTTTATATTCGATAATTTTCAAAATCGTAGTCCAGTTCGATCGGAGTGGAAATCCTAACAACACTAAAACAGTCTAATGAATGAGATCGTAATCATTTGTTTGTTTCCTAAAGATGTGGTCCTTAAGTACTTAACGCATGTGGTCTACGACGCTAATCGGAACAATAGATAACTTATATGCAAATTGTCAAGGGATACAATACCTAATAGTCCGTGCTGAGAAATACTTAAGGGAAGCATGTAATGGATGAATTTATAAAATCTGCACAAGGCTGGTTGAAGATTCATCCTCTGATGAACTCTGAATGGGTCGGCTCGACCGGAGTGATACCACGGCCTCACAGAAAACCGGCGTGAAATAACCGCAGCGTTGTGTTTCGCCGTGTGAGTGAGGTTACCGGAGGCCCAATCCTTCCCCTCCCCTAATCCCTCCTAAATCCCTAAATCTCCAAATCCCTAATCCCTAAAAGGTCGGCAACGCACTCGTAACTCCTCCGTTGCGAGTGTCCATGGGCGGCGCTGATTGCTTACCATCAGGTAATGCGTCTGCTCGTTTGAAGTTAAGGAAGCCATGTAGCTTATAAGGGCTTGCAAATTGTTCAACAAAGGTCTAAAATCTGGCTGAAAGTGATTGTGTTTCGTGAAATTATTGATTTAAAAAATATAATGGACATATAGTAACGCTGTATGTTTTTTGGCATCACAATTTCAAAAAGGTCAAAAGCTTAACTTGGCCCCTTTTTTGTATGGGATTCTAGGAATATGATTTTTTGTAGCCCTTATGGATAACCAACCCAACTTCATAGAAAAACTAGTCCTACCAAAATAATATATTACAGTCAAAAATAACAAGCTCCAACACCACAATTATTTATTTCTATGCTAATAAAGCATGATAACTATTCGCAATCTGGTAGTCAAGGTTAATGTTCCATGGAGGCCGGGAGACCCTGGCATGACCTACCTGCTATGGACACAGTCAATAAATACTAAATGTAGTTTGGAACGCTATAAATCGTTAAGCTTATGAACTGCATTTTAAATTTGATCTATGGGTTGATTTTTATGCAAGGTGATAATTATAGATATTTTTTTTGTTCATTTATTATCAGTGTAAAAATTATTAACTTTTTGCACAATTCGTTGCACAATGTCGAACTAAATGGCCAAAGGCATTTTCCATTAGTCTACTTCAGGGTGATACAGAGACTTGGTAACTAAAAACCACTCCGTTTCTTCTCTTGCTCCAGGCCGGGAACCAGATACATCATTCTTTTTGCACTCTTAACCCAAAGCACACCTGCGTAACTCTTCGGGAATTTAAAGATGTGACGTCATAAATGTTTTACGTCTCATTCTATTCATGGTATGACAAGCACAGTAGGACACTCAATAAAAATTATTTATAAAGGAGTGTGGTATCTTTAGATCAGGTAGGTGGACCGTCCAACGGTCATCGGTCACGACCTTTCAACCCGCGTTCTGATTGCTCTGCTCCACTTGGAACCGAAGGATAACTCCTGTGATAGGTATCGTGGCATACAAACTTTTAATGTCATTGTTTTGCACTTAGTTGTGACGGCTTAAGACGAAGCAATTAGTACCATTCTTACTTTTTACTATTTTTATTTCATTTTAGCCTATCAAAACAGAGGTCGTAATTATCAGCTGGAAGACGTCCATTGACTCCCCGTGACTCTGACGATGTCATCGGGCCATCTAGCGCGAGGTCTGCCCACGCTACGTTTTCCACAATACAGGCATAGTTCAAGTAGAATATGGTGACAAGGTACCCAGGTCTTAAGCACGAGGTCTTTTTTTAAGATTTGGATACCATCAAATCATCATATTACATTCCATAATGTTACATTAGGTGTTATGTATATATAGGTATTTTTCTATTTATGGACCCTATCGGGCACAGTGAATTACAAGGCCCTATTAATAGTGATCACTAAAATTTTATTAAGTATGTATTTTTAGTGATCAGTATTAATCAAACTTTAAATTTTTGCTGTGACTTGTACATTTGAAACTACCAATATGTAGTAGTAAAAACTACCATTGGGGAGGCCTATGTCCAGCAGTGGACGACAACAGGCTGATGATGATGAATATGTTTTAAACAAGAAGAATTTTTGAATATGGCTTATTATTTTTGTGTCAGAAGATACTATTGGCTAAGCAGTTATTACAGAGGACGGTTAGTGGATGATGATGATGACGAATATCAATGTTGTAAGTTGCAATAAAGTATCAATGAGGAGGTGCAGTCAATACCTATCTATCTTCAGTCGTAATTATTATCTTATCTATAATTCTAACCATTACTTAATCACGTTCGTAGATAACGAGTTGAATGTACCGTCGCTTTTGTTTTGCAATTACTTGTACTCAATGGGGTAATTTTTTGTCAACATTATCTATCTATTGAGATTCTGATTAATAATTTTGAAAGTTTACAATTTGAATGAAAAGAAAAAAAAAGTGATAATGTGAACCAATGAAATAGTTCTTTCCATTTTTGTGATCGTTTCATTTTAGTAGATACCTCACATCACGTCATCGGTCAAGTACCCACTGCTGAGCAAAGGCCTCGTCGGAGAGGACGGACGAGACGGATTGGCAATTTATCATCGTATGTCAGTGGTGTCTAAATGCACTTAGAAAGTACACATAACTTAGAAAAGTTTATAGGAACTTGCTAGGTTTCGAAACCGTATTAGAAGCGGGAGCCTAAACTTCGGGCTAGCACGATCTCCCACGTCGTATGTAGATCAGCAAACGAGCAGACGGATTTATTAATGGTCAGCAATTACCGCCACCCCTGGACTTTCGCAACAACAGAGGAGTTACGAGGATTGAAGACCTTTTGGGGATTTGGAGATTTAGGGATAAGGGGCGTGGAAAATAATTGTATCTTTGTAAACTCACCCACGACACAAGAGAAAATACTAGTGCGGGGGAATAATTAAAAAAAAAATCACACACACACACTATTTTTCCACACGGGGAGACACAAAACTGTGGTTGTTTCACGGCGGCTTTCTGTGAGGCCGTGGTATCGCTCCGGTCGAGCCGACAAATTCTTAACGAAGTATGGCTCTCCCACACTCACATACTTACTTCCTTACTTACTTGAAATAACGTAATGTCATTCTCAATTTCTTTTTAATCTGGCCACCATTAAAAACTCTGCGGTGTAAATAATGAATCATATTAAGTACTTACCTACCTTATTTAATACGATACGCATACTGTAGGCATTCCTGTCTTTCCTGGGATCGAATTTATCTCATTCACTATGCCAACAAACAAACACACTGACAAAAATAAACACACAAAACAAAAACACGAGTACCAATCTAAGAGTCGCGTCAGGAATAAACCAGGCCTAAACAGGCGTCGATAAAACCATTTTAACTTGACCCTTACTATCACAAACAGTATCTTTTACAAGACCCTCATTTTCGAGGAGAGAAGGAGGAGGTGGAGGTCTGATTATGCTGGTGTCGTGGGCTGAATATGGGTCGGGTCAGTAATGCTGTTGTTATAATTAGTTTAACTACCTTACTGCGACACTGGTCCGGAGATAGGGGGAACCGTGTCACATGGTCATCAGCTGTTTGAGATTTGATTGAACTTTTTCTGTAGAGGACAGATAGTAAATACCTACAAAATGTTGATCCGAGTAGATTTACATACCTACTTATTTCTTTTACTTTCGTGGCCTAATTTATAGAACGTTATTTAGGTCTTAAAAAAGCAGCTTACTGGTTTTTACCTAGTAGTTGTACTAAATCAATTTCTTTATTTTGTTACTATGTTTATCTTATAATCTTATAATATTGTTTTATTGTTTTGTTAATATGTTAGCGGCGTACACATTGACGTCACTCAATTATTTTATTTTGTAGCTGAGTCGGACAGTTAGCGCCATCTAGTTTAAAAAGGTAAAACTAGTTTATCCTTCAATTTTAGAGAGGTAGTATTTAGTTCAACACTGTGTTGATAGATGGCATTGAAATAAATATTTTAGAATGATGTGTAAATTGCTGATAAGGTAACGAGAAATCTATTTTGTCTAATTATTTTAATTGTTTTAATTTCTTACGTGACCCATTTACTTAAGAAAGGTTGTATGATAGATATTATGCAATACGGCACTTAAAAAACACTAAGGCTACAATAATGTATCAAATAATTTACCTTGTCAATAGATTTTGTTCTTTGAATCATTGGTGATATAGTTTAGATTTCTCTAAAGAGAACTCTAGTCATCTCAATGTGATGGTGTCTTTACACAGAACAACATGCAAGGGAAACCGTGAGACAACATTATAGTTGGTGGCAAAAAACAGTAACAATAATTTTCTCCAATATCATGCATTCATTTTACAAAAACAATTTTTCTTATGGCCATCACACTATAACTCAACAGTCAAGGTGTAAGTACAGAATCACACCTTCATGAGGGGAATATCATCGAATGACTTCTCTCATCCATGCCGAGGCGAGAGGGAGTGTCAGACTCTTACTGACTAAAAACCCCCCGTTCCTTTTCCTGCTCTAGGCCGAGCCAGCGGTACCTTATATTGCGCTTGCCCCGCAACCCCGGCTAAACAATGGACCTGCAGTGCAGGGCCCTGTTTCGAGTGACGATCTTTGACGATCACCGTAAGCGTGAGTCTGCGGATGTTGAGTAAGGGTAGCTCGCCGCTCGACCAGAACCAGACACGAGCGTACGGTGCTTAACATTCCACGCGCGCCTCAGTACGCCAATAGACCACCACAGACGGGGCCATTTAGGCCTGATGTTCAGTCGGGATTGCGGGGCAAGTGCAATGAGTCACTGCGTCCTCGACCCATAGTAGGAGAAGGACCGGGGGGTTTTTAGTCAGTAAGAGTCTGACACTCCCTCCTGCCCGACCCAGGCGGGAGAAGTAATTGGATGATTTTTCCCTCACAAAAAAGGGCCCCGTTTGTGGTAAGAGCCAATAAAGAATCACACCTGGAGCAACGATAGTGGTTCGTTGAGTCATCGCTGGACCACTAGACTGAAATAACACAGAAGCGCAAAGAAATAATAGGTACTGTGGTTCATCCATACGTATACTTAACGAATAAATACAATATTTATGATTCAAAATTAAAGTTTAAAATTAGATGACAAATCTTAGTCAAATAGGAATTGAGAAAGTGTTAAAATCATACGTAAATATACATAATTGTAGCTGATACACCAAATGTTGATTTGCAATATAAATTGTTTCGAAAAAAAATGTTGAGGTTGAATAACCCTTATCATGTAAGGGCATAAAAAAGCCAGTAGTCGATTCTCAGATCTACTGTATATGCATATAAAATTTGCTAAGAATCAGTAAAGTTGTTTGGAATAGTATATTTCGTTACTAGTACGGAATGGTTGTCATTGCAAAGAGTTTCGACAAATGTCTACCCGAGCCGAAGACTAGGCTACACATCCCTGCAATACGCCACTTTTTGAGCAACTGTATTAAAGAGTTTATCATATATCACACAACATTGTGTCACGAGAATTTTTATAGAAGATTGTATTCTTCTCACATACCTAGGTGCTTCATACGGAATCATACGCATAGTTCTCACACTGGGAAAGGCGAGAGAAGTCTTTTGATGATTTTACCCCAATGACAGTGGGTAGACACTTATAAAATCAAACGAAAAATATGCTTAAGTATCCCACTAATTTAAAAACTTATAACTTTTTACTAAGTTAAGAGTTTAGAGATGGCCATCCATCCATCCATAGCCTCGTCTAAGTCACAAACATCCATAGTTTCGTTACACGTAAAACATACTGCAAAAAAAAATGAAAACTTCCAAAGAAATTTGTCCACGTTGAAGGATTGACCACGTTCAAACCAAATTTTATATTATTTTTTTAAAAAAGCTTTCGACAATAATAGTTATAATGATATGCAATGTCGATTGACGTTACGATTTAGCATATTTTAAGTATATGTAATGCGCAACTATCCGAGCGATGGCGTTGCATATATCATCATCATCAGCCAGATTTCGTCCACTGCTGGACATTGGCCTCCCCAATTGCACGCCAATGAGCTTGCCTATAATATGATAAAATAAATAAATACGCATCTAATATTTCTGTTCTTCTTTTTTAAAGTTAGTACTAATAAAATTTTTAATTTTTATTCCCTGTCGTCATTCCTACTAACCAAAAAAGTAAATGTGCATAAAAATAAATAATATATTCATTCATCTTCCTTAATTGTGGATAAGTCTGAAAAATATAGGTACCTATTCATCTTACTTAATTGCAGTATTATAAGTCTGAAGGCTACGACGCTGCAGTGAATGGAAGGTCTGGCAGATTTCCAATTTCCCTTCAAAGATTGGCAACGTGTCGTCGACTGTTTGAGTGTCAAGTTCCTCCGTCAACGTCCTTGGTTCTCGGGCGCAGTTAAACTGTGTATCTGATGAATATCCTATCTATTAACCCGATGGAGATGTTACAGAGGAAATTATGTGGAGTTGATTGGTTCACACTATATGTATTATACCTACCTACTTATTTTGAAAGTAATTTTAGTTATTAACTTTTCCTTATAAACAATTATTGCAAAGGGAAGTCAGTAGGAGCCAGGCTGGTCTAAGTTGGTGGCCGACTGTGATAGGCCTAGTCCTTGAGCTAACCTTGCCAAGTGCGCCGTGATCTCAAAGTTAAAGTCAAAATCATTTATTCCAAATAAACCGTAATTAGTTAGTTTTGAAACTTCAAAACCGAGGTATATAGTTTTCAAAATAGAGATGGTTTTATCCATAATTTTGTATTTACTTGTAAAATTCCAAACATAATATAGAGTAGGTACTTAGATACTTTTTTCATAATATACTTACTTTTTTCGGTACGCGAATCCTTTCTGAAACATTAAGAATTTGGTTTTACAAAATTAAATTAAGAAAATAGTGTCATGTACCTATTTTGTACTTAATGTATTTAATTTTTAACAAATCATTGCTTCTTTTAATTTAATTGCAATATTAAAAATTAATAATACTATACTATAATATAATACTTACTCACGGAATTTTAAAATCCGTTTAATAATTCGTAGAAAACGGTAGCAATTTGTAGTTGTAGTGGCACAAGGCAGACGGCTCATAAGATTATAAGTAGGAGCACCCAACGTTTTGATATCCCCGGAAAGTCTTCATATAATATGTTAGTCTTCGGCATAAGGAGCTCTTTACATGACATATTTTATTATGGCCACAATAATCAGCCAGGTATTACCCACTATATTTTTATTTTTGTGTGACGCTATTATTGTTTCACGTAGGTTTTTTTAATGTAATCGGTCGGCTAACGAACCTACGGATGACCTGATGAAAAGCAATCTGCACCGCCCATCCATGGACACCCGCAACAATGGAGGAGTTATGAGTGCGTTGCCGACCTTTTGGGGATTAGGGATTTGGAGATTTTGGGATTTGGGAGGGGAAGGATTATGGCTCTGTAGACCCCACTCACACGGCGAAATACAACGCTGTGATTGTTACACGCCGGTTTTCTGTGAGGTCGTTGTATCACTACGGTCAAGCCGAGCCATTCGTGCCGAAGCATGACTCTCCCACTACATTGATGGTAGCGTGATGTCTATAGCCTATAAACCTTTCAAACAAATAATCTCTTGACGTTTAAGTACTGTATGTTGTTCATTGAAATATTATTATTAAAAAAATATATATTTTTGTCTGTTTGACTTAACGTTCAGAAGTGCCTACTGTGACTTCAATTTGGTCAAATTTATTTCATTGAATAGTCAGAATAAAAATACTCAAAACATTTTTTACAATATTTTAACTTTTGATGTACCTAGCTGTAAAAGTAATAAATGTGAATTCTAAGTCCCCGTCCAAATTTTAATTATCATTACATCAGATCTGCATTCAAGATGATATTTGTAAATGTAATGAGTGCACAAAACAGTGTAATAAAATTGTAATACGTAGCACTTGAGACTACACTACACACCGACACACGGTATCCAACCCTCAATTCCCAAGTAAATACAAAACAAGGGACCCTCTAAGCGTAAGGGCGAATATGCCCCAAACCTCATCTACTGAGGTTACTACTGAGGCTGGGCGGGACCGCAGTTTCGGTCCGGACGCCGCGGCGTAACGACGCACGTACACTCGACAACATTCGTTCCCGCCTTACGAAACGCCATGGATCTTTTCATTTAAACGGACAATGGAATACACGTCACAAATAGGTAAAGAATATTTTTTTATTCTATTATTGTTCTCTTGTTGTCAGTGTAGTGTGTAAACTAATTTCGGTTTGTGATGGTAAGTCGTTTCTTTGGTTTTCTTCGCTCTTTGCCGCTAAAGACGTTTTTGTTTAATGTGTGTATCTAAGTATTCTGTCAAACATGTGTATTTGTTACGAGAGAAATTCTTATATTTTGATTGACATTTCACGTTATGTATCCTTAAGTAAAACTCAGTCTTAAATGATGATAATGATATCTTTTACAGCTAATATTTTTCGTTCTTTATTACATTTTTACAGCTGCTGTGTATTCCGCAGATTGTGTATTTTCGTGTACATTACACAGTTGCTACAATGACACTGATTTATGTCAGTTTTTTATCGTACCTACAAAGCAATGAATGTTATAAAACAAAAGAAAACCGCGGTAAATTAATAAACTTCAAACAAAAGTGTAAGTAGGTAGACTAGGTACGTGATTATTCGTTGGAAATAGAAAAATAGATAAATCATAAAAAAATATAAGTATTTTTTTTAATAATTAATAAATCTGTCGGTATATTTATTGACTGTTTATTATTTTTGAATTTAATATAGTCGGAAAAGTGAAGCAATAATAAAAAAAATAAACGTTTTTTTATTATTAACTTTTTGCACGACGTTACACCAAATGAAAAAAGCAGTAGAAATTGTATAAGTTGCAAAGTCGACTAGCAGACTAACTCTTTATCTTAAATTGATGGTGTATAAATAGAGAATTAAATATTTATTGTGCGTTACTGAACTCCTAAACGCCTGGACAAATTTTGACGATTTTTTTTATGATAGACTAACATCCTGAATTGTTGTGATTCATGATTAGATCTCGTAGGCTCAGGTATTTCGCGTGTCCATGGTCGAAACTGATTGCTTACCATCAAGTGATCTGTCTGTCAAAATGCTTATCTATCCCATAAAATCCCACGAAAAGAGCATAGTGATAACACATGTCTCCTCTACCACAACCACTACCGTATAAAACAAAGTCGCTTTCTCTGTCCCTACACGATATGTGTGCTAAAATCTTTAAAACTACGCGACGGATTTTGATGTGGTTGTAATTTTAATAGAAAGAGTAAGTGAAGAGGAAAGTTTATATATAAACTAGCTTATTCTCGCGACTCCGTACGCATGGAATAGTGGCTTCCTGCAGATTTTTTGTACAGAAACTATCCTATGTTCTTTCTCGAGTTCCAAACTATGTCTGTACGGTACCAAATTTCACAAAAATCGGTTCAGTAGTTTAGGCATGAAGAAAAGACAGACAGACAGAGTTACTTTCGCATTTATAATATTAATAGCTACTCCCGCGCAATTTCACTCGCTGCTCGAATCCTTTTGATTGTAGCTTGATGTTTGGTAGCCTATAGCACTCGAGAAGATTGTAGCTAGAAAGAATTTTGGGAATCAGACTAGTTGTTTCAAAGATTACCCCTACATACAGACTTACACTCTTACAAATTTTACCTCTTTTTTATAATTATTATAGTATAAATTAGTATTAGTATAGATAGTTTGGATTAACATAGAAATTTAATTAATGACAATAACGTTAACAGGATAGCATTGAGTCATTCAGGTTCTGTTTTACGTTTGTTTGTATAAGAATATTATGATGTAAGTATGCATTGTAAGTGCAGAGTGTAGCTTAAGGAAAATCGATTGTTTTTATCATCTTACATCAGTGCAGGTGTACTTAAAACTATTATCATTCATTAATAGAGTTTCTTGTGAAAATACAACTCGTAAACGCATTTATACGCTAGTTTTTTATTATGAGGTAGATTTGTAGTTCATAGGTTAATTAATTTTTGACCATATTAATGTTTTAATTAAGTTGTGTTTCATTTGTACGGCTTTGGGGACACGTTTAGACCACCACTTTTCTTGATAAAACTCGCTATTACTACGTACAATTTCTGGAATAATAGTATTATTTACTTTTAGTTTCTGTCAGCGGCGTCGTCTACAGTACGAACTTAAAAAATACCCTATATTTTATTGTTAATTGGGCCTCCGGTAACTTCTCCCAGACGGAAAATAACATCCAAGCGTTGTTTCACGCCGATTTATGTGAGGCCGTCGTATGCTTTTGCCTAGGATATGGCTTTCTTTGCTCCAAAATATGTATGTATCTTTTTCACTTTAAACATTTAAAGTTTTTTTTTTTTTTTAAATCTTTATTTTATTAAAAACATTTAAAGATACAAACAAAACGATCAAAACGAAGCTTAACAAATTTAAAAACAGAACGTTAGCAAAATTAATTTGATTATTTCGCATTAATATAAACGTTTGTAACATGTGTGTGTATGTGTGTGTGTGTGTGTGAGAGAGAGAGAGAGAGAGAGAGAGAGAGAGAGAGAAAGAGAGAGACAGACAGACAGAGAGAGAGACAGATAGACAGACAGAGAAACTTCAGTCTATATAAGAGGTTGTAGGTAACAAGCACAGTTGTATATTAGTTAGAGAGAGTTTACAATTTGTACGTCGGTAATAAAGTTTGGCAGTTTGTAGGTACCTATTTTGTTATCGTAACACAATCAAACTTTGTTGTAACACTGCGATATTAATTTATTTCCTCGCAAATGTAGCAGCTGTGTTTATTTTGTATGGAGATTGGATTTTGTCTGAGCGTTTGTCTGTGTGTGAGATTTTACGAAGCCTTGTCCAGTGTCAAGATCTTGTTAGCTCTTATGATTCCCATGAGAAGAATAAGTATGACATCAAAATGTGAACTATTTTGCTGATGTTCTTGATCAAGCTTAGCAGGTGTTTCTTATTCCTGGTGCAGAGCATATAAAGTTTTAATGTATGTATATTCCGTGGTATTGAATGTATGTCAGAATTGTCTCATTCACCTAAACACGAGGAATATTATACCTAGCTAATAAAGCAGTTAAAGTACTTTATTGAGTGCTTACGCACTATTTGACTTACTATTGAGTATTTACTTGTCGCTGAATCATGCCCATGAGGGCATAGGGAGTTTCAGACTTTTGCTGACCAAAAACCACCACGTTCTTTCTCCTACTCCAGGCGAAGACCTTGGTACCTTATTGGTCTTGTCCCGCAAACCCAGCTGAGCAGCAACTGTACTTTATAAAACAATCGACAAATAGGAATTTATTTTCCCGCTGCTCGACTCCTATTAATAGAACCGTGATGATGATGTTCTATAGTCTAAAAGCCTTTCCCGATAAGTGGAATATATTACAAAAAATTATTATTGTATTGGAATCAGCAGTTCTGAAGGTTAGCACGTTCAATTAGACAAACAAATTGTTCAGTTTAATAATATTAATACTAATATTATAAGGAGGTAAAATTAGTGTGCATGTTTGTAAGTTTGTATGTAAGGGGAAATGTTTGGAACCACTGGTCGGATTCCCAAAATTCTTTCAGTTATTGATAGCTACAATGTTCCCGAGTAGGCTATCTAGCTAGCTACAATCAAATTGACGGTTCCTCCTAGCAACGAGTGAAACCGCGTGGGAGTAGCTAGTATTAGTATAAATACTCAAACAGCGAGCGAGTCGGTACAAGTATACTTCTAAACACGAAACTCAAGCTTTTAACTCAAAATTTATATTCTATATTCTCCGTTAAAATTTGTAGCAGTCCAAACGAAGTTCTTAAGTAGGGCTTAGTTTATCAGGCGTCTGTCAGGACAGTTTGACAGTTCGAGCTTAGCTTCAACTTGTTAAGTGGTATGTTTTGTTCAGCTTAAGGAAGAGGACACTTAAACTTAAGCGGAGCGATATTTTTTTCTGTATTTTGATTGTGGTTTACTGGATACTACATATGTAACATACTGATATTCTGATTAAAGATTATCATTGAATTGTCGACTGCCCTGTTGTATCGGACCGGCTGGACTCTTTGGCACTGCGTAGGGATGTAGCCTCGCTATGTATTTTCTATCGCATCTATCACGGGGAGTGTTCTGAGGAATGGTTTGGTTTGATACCCGCCGCATCTTTTCGCCATCGTTCCACTCGAAAACTTTTTCATCCCCATCACAAAGATGGTTGGCAGTCAGCAACTGTGCGATTTACCCGTAACTTTCTGCCCCGCACAGCAGAACATTGGAATGATCTTCCGGCGGCGGTATTCTCGAACCGATACGACCTTCAAATCTTCAAGAAACGGGCGTATTCCTTCTTAAAAGGCCGGCAATGCACCTCTGACTCCTCTGGCGCTGCAGGCCGATCGCTTACCATGAGGTGATCCGTCAGCTCGTTTGCCTCCTATTCCATAAAAAAATGTGTGATGTGGGAGAGCTATGCTTCGACACGAATGGCCTCGCTCAACCTTAGTGGTTTTACCACAACCGGTGTGAAACAACCATTTTGTGTTGTTTTGGTTTTGTGTAAGGTCCTGTTCTACAGTTTCCCCCGAACCCCTTATCACTAATTCTCATAAAAGGCCGGCAACGCACTCGGAACTCCTATGCGCGGCGCTTACCATCAGGTAATCCGTCTGCTTGTTTGAGGTCCTGTCACATACAATACTGATTTTAAGTAAAAGTCTATTGCCTCGGAAAACAATCAGGGAATAATGATGTTTGCGAATGCAATACACGTGTTAGTTCTATGAAATCAATACACAGTATAAAACAAAGTCGCTTTCTCTGTCCCTATGTCTGTATGCTTAAATCTTTAAAACAACGCAACTGATTTGAATGCGGATTTTTTAAACATGTAGATTGATTGAAGGTTTGTTTGTATTTTAACATCTATTAAATAGTGAATAAATTTAGTATCAGCATCGCAGGCGTGAGAAGCCGAGACGGATCGTTAGTAAAAAATATATAAATTAAAAAAAGACTCTCTCACCACACCCAGGACGAGAGAGAAGTCATATGACGATTTCCCCTCAAAACAAAACTTCTTAGGTATATAAACTGTATCGAAGTCGGCACTAAGTCATAACTAAAGCCAGGTGATTGATACTTTGTTT